GATACAGAAAGACAAAATAATAGAAAAATGGTTGCTTAGTTAATACCAGATTGCTTTAGGCCAGTTCCTTTAAATAAGGATGAAAACAGAGAGAATTTCATTATCACTGTAGAAACTACCTGTTTGGGAAGTTTGCCTGCTCTCATTCATTTCTTATGGTTTACTGGAAAAAAACAGTTAACAGCTTTTTTTGGTTTGAAGACAAGTAATTTAGTACAGTTGGATGTGTTGTGATTGTTTAGTCTCATCTATTGGGGTTCAGTACAGAAACTAAGTCAAAAACAATGGCCCCCCTGTAATACCCAATTAACAATACTGGTAGACATTGTTATCATATCTCAATTTTGAATATTAGTTCTTTTATAATTTGTTCCTACACTGCTATGTTTTGGCTGTACTCATGAAGGCATTAAACAACAGAGTATGGTTGCCATTTTATTTGAGTCTAGATCCACACTCAAGACCCTTGACCTATTTCATGTGTGCTTGCGCATGTGCGTGAATGTGTACACTTACGAATCTCTGTGTCTTTCAAGTGCCAAGGGAGAAAGAGGAAGGAAGATGTTCTGAAGGTCCTGGATTCTTTTCAGGGAGGCTGGACTTGTCCTGCCTTTTAGAGATTGTTCTCTTTTTCCCTTGCTCCATGGTGATTCCTTCAAGCTCAGTCACAGGATTCTCTTCCTTCCAACTCCTCTTTCTCATCCCTTCTCTCTCAACTCACCTCTCCCCCCACCCTGTATGCATGTGGTTTTGGTATGTGTTCCAGGCTGGCCTCAGATTCTCATAGTCCTCCTGTTCCAGCTTTCCATGTGCTGGGGTTGTAGCCATGTATTACCATGCCAGGTGTCACACAGTGGATTGATTTATTGATTGATTGATTGATCTGAAGTACTAGAGATTGAATCCAGGATCTCACCCACGGTAGGAAGGAGCCCTTCCACTGAGCTATTATTTGAGCCCTTTTAACACAGTTCAGGAAGTACTTACTTACTGTCAGGTTACCACGCCCACCACTTATTTTCTGTATTTCTTCTGTCCCATGAAGACTGCAATTTCTTCAGACCTGAGAGCTTTCTCCACATGCTTGTTGTTGTTGTTGTTATGTGTGTGTGAGACACTTAGGCTACATGGCACAGTGGTGAGTGGATTCTGGCAGGTAAGTTTATTATCTGGATCATCATATTTTGGTGTGTCATATGGTTGGAAAATAAATAACCACTCAAAAGTTATACAAACATCATCAGACAGAGCCATGTCACAGAAGCGCTCCAGTTGTTCCACATTTAATGTGCCCTTCGGTGACTCAGTGGTGGGAGAGACCGAGAACATTAGTGGCCAAGCTACTCTTGTCGGTGCGCACTTACAGGCTCTGAGAGGGCTCTCCGAAGTAATTCCCTCAACTGTAGTTCATTAGCAGATGCTAACAATCCCCTTCTGGCCTTAATTAATTACCTTGCTTTGGAGTCAAAGAGGGGAATGGTTGTCAAGAGTATTATTTGCTCAATTACCCCAAAGCCATAGATAATGTGTGGTAATGGATTGGAAGATGAAACACCAGCCTTGCTCCAATCCCACAACCGTAAAACTGTGTTCTGTTCATTAAGGCACATGGCATCAGTCATGAGAAGAGCTTACAGTCAAGGCAACAGTAAACGGAATCGGAGGTGAAATCTCTCCATTTACTTTCCAGCATAAACACAGAAAGTCTACACTGCAAAGAGCTTTCTGATATTCAAAGACAAATTCCTGAGGACTCCCTGTCCTTTTCCACCTTCCTTTTTGGCCATTTTGTGGCTGTTTCATGGATGACCTCACCCACAGGCTGGTTGTTCCCTGTATGGCATGATTAAACCTCAGCTCAGAGGCTTTCAGTGATAACATTACATTTATGCTTGCTTTTAAAAATCATGTTGTAGTTGGTTAGGGTTTGTGCTATAAAACAAATCCCTTTCTCGTGTTTTAAGTAATAAACACTGGTGAAAATATAAATCTAGGCCTATTTGAGAGAGTCAGTAAGTAGGTAATTGATGTCATATAGAAATAAAGAAGCTTCATGTAATAATGAGCCAGGGTGAAAGGAAGCACAGCATATGTATATGTGTGGTATATGTATGGTGCAATATATATATGTATGTAATCAGTGTGCATGTATTGTTTTAGTGTGTGTGTGTGTGTGTGTGTGTGTGTGTGTGATTTCTCTATATGGTGTGTATGTTTGGTATGGTATGTGTATGATTGGTATGCATGTACCATATTTAACTCTGTGTAGGTGGTTGCTATGTGTGGTGCACATGTATGGTCTAGATTATATATGTATGTGATTGGTGTGCATGTACCATATTTAACTCTGTGTATGTGAGATTGCTGTCTGTGGTGCACATGTGTGGTATGGTATACACATGTGTGATTAGTGTTATGTGCATGTAATGTGCTTAAATCTGAGCATGTGTATGTGGGCTTTATTCAGAAAGTATTTCCTGGGCTGAGTCTTGAAGGATGAGTGCCTGAAAGATCGTAAGAGTCAGGTCTGTTAGGCAGAATAAACAGTACTCCAGCATGCAGAGGGGAAACCAGGTCTTGGGAAAGCATGCCTGCTGGGAGATGGAGCTGTGCTAGGGGGTTCTGATCTGCTCACTAGTGACCTATGTGTCCATCTCAGGCCAAATAAATCAGACTTGATGAGGGAAAGTAGCTAGTTTTGTCTCATTGGCAATGTGGAACTTGGCCTTCGGGGTGAATCATGGGAAACTGTCCTGGGGCTGTTGTTCCCTCCTGCTCTCTGTGGTTTTCACTGATCACAGAGCTGACTGGGCGAGTGCTTAAACCCACGGCACTCAAACTTTAGCTCGTTTGCATGGTCCGTGTGTCCCCAGACCCTACTATAGCTTGTTGACCCTGAATCTGCTCCTTTTTTGCTGAAAAGAATATCTGCACGCCTCCTTAAAAAAATCGCTGGGTTTCAGAGCACTCCTCTGTGTATATTCACTCATATGCCTTTCCCAATTGCCTTTTCAACCAAGACTGCCATTTAGAGCAAAAGCTCTCAGCAGCAGCAGCAGGTTCCTATCCACCACCAGTTCTGGCTTGGGATAACCCTCCATGAATATAAAAGGATCAATTTAGAACCTGTGAAAACGTCTCCAGTTTTTATGACTTTCTATCCTTTATTGAATTATTTGTAGCCCACAGATGCTATTCACAGCTGAAATAAAAAGTGAAAGCTAAATACTTTTTGCTGTTGCCTTGCTAATGTCTGATTCCTGCAGCTCACTTGTGTGTGCTAATCAGACTATATTGATACCACCTCTTATTTAAAAAAGAAAAACAATAACCCATCACCAGGAACCTCTGAT